ATATTGATCATCTCAGACACTTGTCATAGTGATGGAAAACAAACACACTAGTTTATTACAAACTTTCCTATTTAGGTGATGTTATGATTCAATGAACTCTCATGTTTTTGCTCATAAGGGCCCCTTTTATTCTTTTTCCCACACACCCCAAGTATTGTCTACTAAACTTTGTGCATTAAGTACTAGTTAAGTTCATTATTTTATTAATCGAATATATGCTTAATTTGTCTAGTGTCTGGCAATCATTATGCAGTTTTCATTTATTCGGCAAACATCTATTGAGCAAATACTATATGCCAGTTGGGGATAGAAGATATATGAATAAAATTATTGGCCTTTGCAAATATATCTCTGGAACCTAAGGGAACCATTTCCATTTTATTCATATATCTTCTATCCCCAATTGGCATACAGTATTTGCTCAATAGATGTTTGTTGAATAAATGAAAACTGCATAATTATTATCACACACTAGACAAATTAAGCATATATTTGATTAATAAAATAATGAACTTAACTAGTACTTAATGCACATTTCCATTTCCGTCCAATGAAAAGGGGAGCCAAACATACAGATAGATAGCCAATTAAACAATGCTAGAGGTACTTAGAGATTGTTAGAGAAGATGCAACTTCATGTTATGGTTGAGAAGTTAGTCCACAAGATATGAAATTACATTTCAGTCAACTTGGGTGGCTTATTGTTTCAGGTTTATGTGTGATTTCTACTAGACTTCTTGAATTATTAAATAATTTAGAAGCTCCACTTTTCTTGCCTTGAGAATTCCAGAAGGCAACAGTGGTTTTAATGGAAGTGATGATGGTAGTTGGAAAGGAATTTTAGAAAATAGTAAGCTAAACAAAGAGGAGTAGTTTACCATATTCACCCAAGAGGATGTTCTGTTCAGCCAACTGTTTTATTGTTGTTGATGCTTGTTGTTTGGCAGTATTGGGGATTGAACCCAGGAACATTTTAACACTGAGTTACATCCCCAGTCCTTTTTTATTTGGGGGACAGGATCTCGCTAAATTGCCCAGGTTAGCCTCAAACTTGTGATCCCTTTGCCTCAGCCTCCCAAGTTGCTGGGATTACAGGTGTGTGCCACCACACCCAGCTCAGATAACTTCTTGGCAAGTTGAACTTTATGGTGTATCAGAGGTGAGGGTGTAGCTCATTAGTAGAGAGTTTTCCCTCCATGTATGAAACCCAGGGTTCAATCCCAGCACTGGAGGGGGGAAAAAAAAGTATATCACATTTCCAGAGTCCTTTGGACCATGCATGCCTTTTTTTCTTTTTACAAAAATTGAGGGTGTGGCTTAATGATAGAGTACTTGCCTAACATACACAGGACCTGGTTTCTATCTTCAGCATCAAACATAAATAAAATGAAAAGGAAAGAAAATATAATTATATGTGATTTTACAATTCTACTTTAGGTTGTATTTGTCTAAAATAATTGAAATCAGAATCTCAAATGAATAAAGAGGTGTGGTATATACATACAGTGGAATGTTATTCTGCCTTTTTAAAAAAGGAAATTCTGACACTTGTTACAGCATGGATGAACCTTGAGGACACTATGCTAGCAGAAATATGTCATAAAAAGACAACTACTGGGCTGGGAATGTGGCTCAGTGGTTAAGCACCCCTGGGTTCAATCCCTGGTAACAAAACAAAACAAAACACAACACAACTACTGATTTAACTTGTATGTCAAACTCACAGTAACATGAAGCAGACTGGTAGCTACTAGGGAACAGGAGGAGGGAGATGGAGAGTTTCTATTTAATGAATACAGAGTTTCAGTATTTTTGAGATGAATAGGTTTTGAAGATTCACAACAGTGTAAATATATTTAACACTGTATGCCAATTGGGGATAGAAGATATATGAATATAAATATATATCACACTTAGAAATGGTTAAGGCAGGGGCTGAGGGTGTAATTCAGTGATAGAGTGCTTGCTTATTATGCATGAGGCCCTGAGTTCATTCCCCAGTACCACCCCACCCCCCAATAAAAAGAAATAGTGAAGATGGTAAATCTTGTTATATTTAGTTTACCACAATTAAGATTTTTTTAAAGAGGAACATTCCTTGTGCTTTTATTTGGCTTTTTCTCTTGGCACTTGGAAAGGAGTGTTAATATTACTGGTAGTATGGTAACAATTGTGGATTTACCTTTTAACAAATCTCAAAGGCTTTGTACTTGTGAAGATAACTATGGAAGGGAGAGGGGTTATACAGCATATGGATGGTATAGGGAATATCTTTCCAAGTTCATAGCACTGTGCACATACAACAGAGAATATGTTGATTCTAGTAGTACTAGTAGTACAGTTTGGAAATGAGTTCAAAGTTAGGATACAGTTGAGATTATTAAATCTCTCACTGGGCCCTTAAACACTGTGATCCCTTTCTTCTAATTGACCATCTTTCATCCAGCTTTTAACATTCCTCAGATTATTATTCTAGAATGTGAATATAACTTCAATAATAATCTAAAGACAGTCCAAATTTACACAGATAAGAAATATAGTGTGGTTATAAGCCTTATCTGTGGGCAGAAGACTTTGCCACAAGTAAATCTTCTTTGTGTCTAGCTTTTCAACTTCTGTCCTGTTTGTATTTCTTGCATCTAGCAATGAATGTGACAAAGATCTGCCCAGATTATTGGCCTTTGCAAACATATCTCCGGAACCTAAGGGAACCATATTAACCCAGTTTCTCTTGGGAGGAAATTTGATTGCCCTCTTGCACTAAAGAAATTTAGAGAATTTCCAAGTGAATATGCGTACTCTCACAAATATGTGTTAATATTCAACAACTGAGTGTACTATTTGGTTGAATAAAGAATCATTCAAGGCCGGGCATCGTGGCTCATGCCTGTAATCCTAGCAGCTCCGGAGGCTGAGGCAGGAGGATTTCGAGTTCAAAGCTAGCCTCAATAAAAAGCGAGGCACTAAGCAACTCAGTGAGACCCTGTCTCTAAATAAAATACAAAATAAGGTTGGGGATTGTGGCTGAATGGTTGAGCCATCAATATGATTGAGAATGGTTGAGAATCAATATGATTCTTGGTGAACTTCTCATATGTGTGAAATATTTTTCCATTTCAAAACTATTATATACAAATAACTATAATATATGTCATCTTTTCATTATTGTAAAAAATATTTATTTAACCAGAAATTTTGAAGGTCCAAGGTCATGGAGTTGGTGATAGCCTTTTTGCTGGCAGAGTCCCAAGGCTTCACATGGCAAAAGACAGGGATCACATGTGTCTGTCTGTGTCTATGGGTCTAGCCTCTTTTCCTTTTTTTTTTTTTTTTTTAGAATTGGGGATTTAACCTAGGGGGCACTTTACCACTGTGCTACATCATCAGTCCTTTTAATTTTGAGACAGTCTCACTAAATTGCTGAGGCTGGCCTTGAACTTGAGATGCTCTTGTCTCAGCCTCTTGAGTCACTGTGATTACCGGTGTGCACCACTGCACCCAGCTTCTGATCCTCCTCTTATAAGCCATCAGAATGTAATCATGGAGGTTGGTGCTCTGCCCAAATGACTTCATTTAAATCTAAACCCTATCATTTCTCAAAAGTCCCACCTCCAAATACCATAGTCAGATCAAGTTTCTACACTCTTATTATGTTTAACATATGACTTTGGGGATTAAACTTCATGAGTTTGGGTAGATGAGCCACTTTCAAACCATAGCGGTTGGGCTACTTTTAAGTTCTGACTGGTTCTGTGGGGAGAAAAGGGGACCAGATATAAGAAACCAAGAATCAATGAAGATGGGGATGGTTACTTAAAAACCCTATCTCTAACACTGTGGAGGATGCACAATGTCCAGTATCTTATAGAATTTAATAAAGCTAGAGATTAAATATGGCCAGGCATTATTCAACTACGTATCATTGGCATGCCCCCATCCCCAAACCTGGGCACATAATGAGAACTCCATAAAGGCTTGTTAATTGAGTGGATGACATAATGAATATGTGTTAAGCCCCAAAGGAGTGTGATAACATGTATTGGGGACTAGTGGTTCAGTGTTTTGGAGCAGAAACAGCATTCTTATAAAAAGATTTTGATGTCAAAGAATGTGAGTTTTGCCCTCAAGATTTTAATCAGATTATTTAGCATGGACTGATGATCTGGCAGCAATATGCAGAATAAACTAGGGGCAGGGATAGGGCCTGGTACTGAAGGCAGAAAAAAATAAAAGATTTAAAGAAAAGGGGCGGCAGTGTAGCTTAGTGGTAGAGCGCCTGCCTATAAAGGGAAGCCCTGGATTCCTACCCAGTGCTAACTTTAGGGGAGACGATAAGGCTGGATTAGGAGTTTGAAGTCTGAAAAGATTGTGAGAAATACAACCGCAACATTCATCAGAACCAGCTGACTTTAATAAGACATCAGTTCCAAATCGACACTGTGAAGGAACGTGAAGGTCGTCTACACTGACATTTTTAATTCCTTGGCTTTACTATTATGAGACTCAGGGATGATGGTGGTGGTGGTAGCAGCGGCAGCTAACATTTCTTGAGTGTGCTGGGCACTAAGCTACATTCGAAATGGAGTTATCTCGTTGTATTCAAATAGCCCCGAGATGATAAAGTGACTTAGTGAGTGACTCAAGCCCCTTCTCCATAATAGGGCTGACTTCATCCTCTTCGGCAGCTCAGAAACGTGGGGCCCCTCTTCCGGAAGAGCTCTCTAAATCAGATCAGGAATCCGGGAGGCGCGCCAGGGCCCAGGACGCCAGGTACCACTCCCCTCAGCCCCAGCCCATTCGCGGGGTCGCTGCTCAGCGCGTCGAGAGCCCGCCCTCCACCGGCGGGGCAGCACTGGAGGGGCCCCCCTACTCCCTCTCCCGGCCCGCCCGCGCAAAGCGCGAGAGCGGGGCGTGGGGCAGACGGTGGGAGGGCAGCGCCGGGGCGCGGGCTCACGTCAGGCGGCGTAGACAAAGGCGGGCGCGCGCACGTCCTTACGCACGCCTTTGCCAGCGGCGGCAGGCAAGGGCGGGAGTCGCTGTCTGCGGAGGATTTGGGAGCCCTGGAGCCTCGCGGTCGGTGAGTAGGGGTAAGCCGGCCCCTCGTTGAAGGTCACTGGCTTCCGGGGGGCAGAGCGTGGGGCTTGGGGTCGGGCTCCTAGCGAGGGCCTGTGGGCCAAACGCCCTGCTGATTCCACTCCGCGTCAGGAGGCACCGTGGCCGCTGCCAGGGATTCCCGGCCGGGTGGAGCGTGCCGCCCCCTGGCCCGCAGTGGAACGGTCCGCGCGCCCTCCCTGCCGCGCTGGCCACGCGGGCGCCTAGTTGCTGGTGCTCTTCCTCAGCCCCCGGTGTGGCGCAACTTTTTCGGGGAGGTGGAAAGTGGGTGGTCAGTGCTGCAAGGGGCATTAGATCACGTGGACGCCGCCTTCGCCTCTAATCTCTTTGCCTGTGTTCTCCGACTTTCCAGGGATGTTTTTTCTCTTTCCTCAAATAGTGTTCCCCATTTTTCTTTTTTTAGGCTCTCTTATTCCCCGAAACCCCTTGCCCCTTTCCATGTTGAGTCCACGCCCTCCAGGGCATCCCCCTACCTGAGGGTCTTGCTTATTATTTCATTTTCCATCTTTCATAGGGCTTTAACTTTTGCAGTTCAGAAGTTATGGAAAATATACTATATGAAACATGATGTAACTATGGAAATAAGTATCAGTGTCTCTCACCACTCACGTCCTCATTCTGATTGATAGCCTTGAAATCATTTGAAGAATTTCGTTTCTGTTACGTTTTCCTTAATGTTGGCAGAACTCTGAGAACCTCTGCTTAGTTTCGGGCCTTAGAGATTCGGTCTCAACCCAAGTGAAAAAAAAGCAATTATGTTTAAACCAAAGACTATATGGATAAAATCCTGTAAAACTACCAGTTAGATATTCTTTCTGTTGAAAGTGATTTTTTTTCCAGAATTGTGTTTTGGAGAATTTAAGACATATATCCATATATCCAGCATATATCCATCATCTGACCTTAACAATTTACCTATGGTTAACCCTGTCCCAACCACATCCTCATCCCTTTCCCTTCCCACGTGTCAAAGAGAAAAATTCTTGATGGCAGATGAGCCATGATTGTCAAATGTATCTTCAGATTCACAATAAAAATCTTCTCATATAAAGTCATAAGGTACTTTTATTGTAATAGTCTATTATACAACTAAGGAATATGTAAGTGTTGGGGATAGATCAGAAAAGGGGTTCTGAAATGATCAATCTACTAGTGAACAGAACAAAGTATTTCTGATCTGGATGAGAACTTCGAGATCACCTTGTCCAGATCCAGAGGTTGTACTGAGGCTGGAAACAGCTTCTAATTCTGCATTTGGTCTTCTTTCAACTCTTTTATAATGCTTGTCTTTACCTTGTTTTTTTTTTAGGGAAAAAAAAAATGAATGCAAGGGCTCTGATTGAAAACTCATATTCATGAAGGCCTTGCATTGGTAAACGTGAACTTTCCCACCAAATTCCAGAATAGTAAAACCTCAGAATATGCCTTAAATTATTTCTTAAAATAAGTTTGGTACAAATGAGTAAAAAGAAGGAAGTTTTTCACCAAATTCTGGAATGATAAAACTGGGGAATATGCCTTAAATTATTTTAAAAATAAATTTAAGACAAATGAGAATTTCTAATCATAGTTTTTGGGAGACATGGGAGAGTCCTGACTTAGAAATGGAATACCATAGATACTAAAAACAAGCTATGAAGGATTTGGATAACATTCACAGCTATAACTAAGCTATTAACTAAGGAAGGAAAGGAAACTAAAATGGGAATACACCCTTGTTTTATTCTTAATAGCTGAGAGAACAGTGTCATTTTACCATAATCTGTTCTTGCCATTAATTGGTAAGAATGGACCATTGGTTATAAAAACATGGTATGTATTTCCTTGCAATCTTTATGCTATTTTTTATAACAAGAACAGGTAAATTCAGAACCGTTAGGAGTCACGGAAGGACAGAATGCATTATTGGGTAGATTTTGTTGTTGGAACATGAAAAGGGTACACTTGTGCAAACTAAGATGGTTGAGGTGTATCACTAGGTGGTATAATCTTCATGGGACCACTGTTAGTATAAGTGGTCTATTGTTAACTTTATTATGCTCATTGACCTTATGCAATGCATGACCATACTTTTACTTGTGCCTCAATTTCCTTATTCATATGGTGATATTCTCCCCCTGAGAAATACTATGAACAAGCAAGTCCTTGTATGTAGAGTTCTTTGACTTTGTAAGTTCAGATTATTTATATTGTTCTGACATAGTTGTAAATTTACTTTCAGGAAGAACTTTTCTTGTGATTTTGTGACCATAGTAATTGTCATGTACATCCAACTTATGGAAATACCATTGAAATAACTGTGTAGTTGTCATGACACATCATTAACCCTGAAGGTGAGAGTGGAGGAGATTGTCAGTTTTGTGTTTATTTTGTGGGTTTGTAGCATGGGGAAGAGTGCTTTGGCCGGTCTGTCAGGATTCTAGTCTAATATAAGTGTTTACTGCTAAAATAAATCACTATTTTCATCTGTTGCTTATCATAAAAGGTTACCTTTTATAAAGAAAATCTCTTGCATTCTGGAGATTATTTGGGCCTGGTTAAGTGTGGTTTATATTGCTGAGTTGCTTCTGTAAAATAGAACCTCATTTTGTCATGTTATTTGCTTCACCCCCCTTCACATTTTTATGTCGGTATATTATAGGTGTACTCATTTACTTCTCACTGTGTTATTTAGCTTATGGGGAAGTCTCAATTGATCCATTCCATACAGCACTAAGCTACATGTTAGTGTTTTCTGTAGCATAACTAATACTTCTTAAAAGAATGGAATTGGAAAGCTAAAAGGAGTGTTCTAAGTGCTTGGAGTTTTTCCTAACTCCTTTAAGGCACTTTTTCTCCTTTAAAAGCATTTTACCATTGAGCATGCCATAGTCACTGGCTTGTTACCTTTCTTAGGGTACTCCTTATTTTACCCTGTGTAGTATATTTAGATTGCATTTTCTGCTAAACCATAAGCTCAAGATCTGCAGTACTAGAAAAATGCTTTGTCACAAGCAGGAACATAATATATTTTTCATTTTTGTTTATTTATTTGGTGAGAGTGCTGGGGATGGAACCTAGAGCCTTGAGCATGATTAGTATTTGCTGCACCATTGATCTACACCTCTAGCCTTTACTGACTTTTTGAATTAAAATTTTAAAAAGGTAAGGAAACTTCAATTCATGAAGCCACATTACTTTTTTGAAGTCATATAGATAGAGAGTAACAGCTGTGCTTAGAACCAGTAAGTTGTCAACATGAAAATGGAGGAAGAACACCATAGCTAGGATTATTTTGAATTTATGGAGTTAAACAAAGAAGTTTGATGCCACAAATTTTGTGCCTGTGTGATGAAATGCTTTCTTTCTTTTTTTTTTTTTTTAAGGGATGATCATTTCATTTTTTTCTTTAACTGTCCACTTTTTTCTTTCTTTTTTTAGTACTGGGGATGGAACCTAGGGGTGCTGAATCACATCCCCAGCCATTTTTGATTTTTTATTTTGAGGTAGTCTCACTGAGTTGCTTAGGGCCTTACTAAGTTGCTGAGGCTGGCTTCATCTTCTCAAGTCACTTGGATTACAGGTATGTGCCACCATGCCTGGCTTATTTTAACTATTTTTAAGTGTACAGTTTAGTAGTAATGCTTTCTTACTTTAAATAAAAATACTTAGTCATTAGGCAAAAACTTAAAAAATGATCAGTAACAACTTCAATAATAACATAGTAAATGGGCGAATAAAATAATAGGCAAAAATTTTTGACACTTTACCAAAGAAGATACATGGATGGAAAATAAGCACATAAAAAGATGATCCATATCATGATTCATTAGGAAATGTAAGTTAGAATTATTAGATTTCATTTCATATCCATTAGTATGTCTAAAATTAAAAAGACTGGGACATATCAAGTGTTGGGAGGATGTAAAGCCATTGATGCTGGGAATACAAGATGGTGCTGTCAGTTTAGAACAGTTTCATAAAAAACTAAACATACACCTCCCTTAGAATTAGTAATTCCAACTACTAGGGATTTACCCAAGAGAAATGAAAGTATATATTCATACAAAAACTTGTGAATTATAGTTTCTTTTTTTTGGTCAGATCTCTATAATAGAACATCCTCAATGTCGTTCAGTAGGTAAGTAGATTAATTGTGGGATGTTCATACCAGCGAATACTACTCAGCAATAAAAAGGAATGAACTGCTGACACATTGGCAACAGCATGGATTATTCTCAGAATCATTAAACTGAAAAAAATAAACCCAACAAAAAAAATCTTGATTAAAAAATGAAAGAAGGCGGCCAGAAAGTTGCTTCCAGTTACATATATAGTACCCAAATGTAAAAACACAAATTTTGAAATGGAGCAATCAATGCAATAGTAAGGTTGGATAATGAATGAAACATCTTGGGTCTTAAAGCCCCAACAAATCAAATTGTCCTTTTCTAAAAGAATGGTGCTGAATATCAAAATTGTTTGGAGTGAACACTTGGTGTACCATGTTACTTATTATCCAATGAGGTCAGAATAACCTTAGATAAGACCAAGACCCTGAAACTGACTGCATTCTGACTTCTTCCTAGTGAGTGGAGTAATCCTTTGGCCTTTTGTATCCTGGCTCTGTCTTGGATAATTTATTTTATCCAGGATCAGTGTCAACTGTTTATGTATTCATGACTCTTCAGCACTTCAGTTCACTTGAACCTAGTAACTCTTGAGTTTTTGGAAATAATTCTGAGCTGTCTTTTTGGAAAGGTGCACTTTTCCTGCTGAGCAGCAGCATTCTATTCAAACAAATTTGTTATATTTCACTACTTCTGATACACTTGACTTTAAATACAACCAGCACACATTTCCTTTGTGTCTGGGCTTGAATGTTTATATCATTTGTTTACATCATGTTTGTATCTCATTGGATTGGGTCATTTGGTGAGTATGTGTTGGCAACAGAGAGACCTCAGAAAATGGGTGGCTTTCTTT